ATTATGGCTGAGGTTGTGGCTCAGCCGCAGAGCCCTTGCCTAGCACATGCGAGGCCCTGGGTTTGATCGTCAGCACCACATAAAAATAAATACATAAATAAAATAAAGGTATTATGTCCAACTACAACTAAAAAATAAATGTTTTTTTTTAAAAAAATAGATCAATGGTAATCAAACAGGAAAACAGAACAAGACAAAACATCCTCCCACACACAAACCCCAGGAAGGAGCGTATTTAGAAAAACAAACGGAGATTTAACGCCAACTCTCCCTGGGGTTATAACTCTAATTATACTTCTAAATATTTAACGTGGTAGATTCAAAACTAAATATTCAATGCCCCAGTTTTAAATTTTCTTTCAATATAATCCACATTAATAACAAATCTTAAGAGCACTATCTGAAAATAAATCAGCTTTTTTCTAAAACTTAACGTTACATTACAGATTACATTCTGTTCCATAATTCTGATAATCTTTTTTGGTAATGAAACAAGGCTTTAGGATGATTCTTTTCTTGGGAAATCTTAATGGCAGTCATTCAATAAATTCAGTCATTCTTGAAGTCACAAACACTCAAAACTGTTGTTGGCAATGACCAAGTTTCTGGGGTCTTTTTTTTTTTTTGGTGGTTATTGCTTTCGTTGGCAATATCTAAATTTAAGACAAAGAACATCTCCCAGTAAGCCTTACATGAAATATTACAAAATTCATACAGAAGATGGACTCATAGAGGCTAGCTATAAAGCTGGTGTTTTAAATAACTCATCCTTCAAATGGGTGCAATGTTTAGAGGATATCCAATAACTTTTTTGCTCTAAAATATATGCCCCTACTTTTCAATGTTCCCATTCAATAGGAGACTTGAGAAGCTTAACAGTTTTGCTATAAAAACTCACTCTTCTTAACAAACCAAAACATAAAAGGAAACCAATAAAGGACATATTTTTCACAGTTCACAATAAGTAAAAGTGTACTAAGTGTTTAAAAACTACATGTGACTATTTGGCATAGGCCATCTTTTAAAGGCTCTTGAGGATCCCTGACGTCACTTATTGTGGTCATGACTGTTTGATTATTAGCAGCTCCTGGTGGCTGTGGATTGATAAGGGCCTGGACATTGCTTCTACCAGCATATGAAAGTTGGTGTCCCCTTGATTCGGGGCCAGTTTGAAGGCCATTTCCCACTGATCCAAATGTACCTGTACCTGTTACTATTCATGGAATCAGTCTTCTTCTGTTCACTGTGAGCCCCTCTGTTCCGGTCCTTGATAATCTGGGCTGGGCTCACTGAAATTTGGCACTTCTGAATAAACCATACAAATTCTCCAATTTTCTGAAGTTCGCTGCCCCTCCCAGTACAAAGCATCAGACATCCTTTCCACATGGATGTGTATCCCGGGTCCATAGACACTATCCTCAGCCCACACGGAACAGTGACGCTGCCCGTTTTATCTGCTGCTTTGTGCGATCTCACTTTAAGGCCGTCTTGGGTTATCTCCAGGAAAATAAAGATGACATTTAAGTTTTTCAGTCCGGGGTTAATATCTTTTATAAAAAGAGGTGGGATGTTGACCCCACTCATATAGAGTAGTGAGTGGGGACAAGGCTTCCTACCTTCCCAGGTCCGGGGCAAGGGTGGAGGGACAACTGGGGCTGGGGTGGCCCAAAGAGAATTGTTGGGTTTTATGGTGAGTTTAGTTTCTGAAGAACTGTCATTCTGCTTTTCACATCCCCTTCCCACACAGGGGTTCAATTTTCTCCATGTTCCCTCTCTCCCTTCTTGCTTCACAGTAGCAGTCCTAATGGGGTGAGGTGGTGCCCCTGGACGCTTTTATAATCATGATCTAATTATAATCATGATCTAATCATGATCTATCAAGTTATAATCATGATCTAATCAACTTTTAAAAAGACTGGTCCTACTGCCGTGTGGGAAAGCTGCTAAGGGGTGGGTAAGCAGGAGGGACGTACATAAAGGACCTGCTCAGAGTCTGCATGGAAGAGGGGAGAGACAAAGAGCAGGTGGCCTGAATGATGCGGGTGAGTGGTATGGAAGTCTGAGGAGTGAGTCCAAGGTGGTTACTGCTGACTAAACAAATCAACACAATAGGGGTCGTGGGCAATTCCTAGTTCAGTTAATCTTTGATGACAGTGAATTTATAGTGATGCAAAGCTTCCTCCAGAATCCTGAGGTCAAAAAGGATGGGGAAAAAGTTGTTCCTAAAATGGAATAAAGTAAACAGATAACTCCAGTACACTGATTAAAAAAAAAACAAATATTAATCTAAGTTTTGAACATAATACTTTTGACTGCATATATTCTTTATGGGAAACAGTCAAAGAACAAAAAGAACTGGGAAGAAGTCACATCTGGATCTGTATTTAGTAGGATTACTCTTGGTAGACAGTGGTGGGCAGTTCAGAAACTGCAAATTTTTGGATCAAGTGAATGAGTAAATAAATTGATGCTGTTGGGAATCAGAGTTCTTGCTACAGGAGAAGGGAAATGTAAGTTTGGAATAAGAAGAATCCTGTGATGTTAGATTTAAAACAGAGGTATCAGTTTGAACTCAAAATCTAATGAAAAAATGATTCCTGGGCTCTATTCACCCAAAGGGCCCAGAAGCGGCAACACCTTCATATTAATGAGCATGCCTGGGGCCCAGACTTTGGTTTTTAAGTACTATTCTCCACTAAGAGAAATTATGGCTCTCAGGGGAATGGCTGATTCCCAGCCATAGGCAAGGCAAGCACAAGGTACACTCAGAACATCATATTCTGCCAGAAAGTAGAAAATGCTCAAGAATGTTGTCAAAAGGATAAAGGAGGCAGCTTGCAGGGACTCCCACTCTGGGACAACTTAAACATTCAAAGACTGATAAAAAAGAATCCAAATCCACCAGTCCATAGTGACATTTAATAAACTAAAAATAATGGGGCAGGAAAAAAATGGTAACTAAAAATGTAGAAAAAAATGATAGACATAGAAAATGACTATTTTACAATCATATCTGTAATAACAGATGCAGGCAAAAATCATATATAGATGTTGAATCACTGGGCAAAAGACCATCAGGAATTAGAACATCTATAGGCTGCTAACAGGAATCCCTATGACACAGAAATCTGGTGGACACTGTCTTCACCACATGATCAAATTGAAGAACACCAATGATAAGATAGACCGGGTCCCGGATGTAAAGCACTGAGGAGGACGCGGCTCACCTATGAACTGTTGTTCTCAGCAATGTTCAACCTGAATCTAACGATGCAGAAACAACTGGATGAAGCCAATCATATGGAAACAATCTGCACATTTTGCACAACCAATCTTGAATCTTCACAACTGTCAACGTGAGGGCTGGGGGTAGGTATGTCTCAGTCTTAGTGCACTTGCCTGGCATGTGCAAGACTCTGTGATTCAATCCCCAGCAACGGAAAAAACAAACAAGTTATATACATACATTTTGTGTGTGTGTGTGTGTGTGTGTGTGTGTGTGTATGTGTACGTCTTGAAAAGCATCAAAATGAAAGTCTAGGAAACTGCTGGAATAAAGGGAAGTAAAGAGACATGAAAATGCAAGGTGTGATTTGGGGATGGATGGATATGGGAAAACTAAAGGAGCAGCTACACAGGACACTGTTGGGATGACTGTGGGAATCTGATCTTGGGCTGAGTATTAAATGACAGCATTGTGTCAGTGCTGCACTTCCAAGTGTGAAGACGGTATTAAGGTCAGGTCAGAGGATGCCCTGTAAGAACAAGGAGATGCACGCTGCAGCGTGCAGGGATAAAAGTTCATGACATCTGCAAATCATTCTCAGATGGTTCAAGAACAACAAAAAAAAATTAAGAAAATTAAGCAAAAGTGGCAAGACATTAAAAATTGGTGAATCTAAGTGATGGGCAATTGGGTGTTCACTGAGGGTTGTTGCAAACCATTTCTTCTGTGGTGCTGCACATTTCAAAATAAAAAAGTTTAGGATTTAGAATGAGAAAACAAGCCACAGTCTGGGAGAAAATATTTACAAAACACTTGTCACATAAAAGACTGCTAACCAAAATATACAATGAACTTCTAAAACGACCCATTTAAAAAGTGAGCAAAGGATCTGCACATTAAAGAAGAAATATGAACAGCAAATAAGCATAAGCAAAGATACTTCCCAACATGTCTCTAAGAAACTGAAAATTAAACAATGAGGTACCACCATTAGAATGGCCTAAATCTAAAACACTGACAAATCAGACGCTGGCAAGGGTGCAGAACGACATGAGCTCCCGCCTTCAATCCTGGGGGGATGCAGTGGTGCAGCCACTTTGGAAGACAGTTTGCATGGAATCATATTCCAGTTGCACGACCTTCTGAAAAGACAAAACTATGGAGACAGTAAAAAGACCAGTGGTTGCCAGGGACTGAGGGAGGGGAAGGAACACGCAGAACAAAGGGTTTTTATGGAAGGGAAACTACTCCACATGATACTACAGTGGTGGCGACAAGGCATTACACACCTGCCCAAACCCTCAGAATGTGTAACACCAAGAGTGAGCCCTCATGTGGACGCCATGATGTGGGATCATGACCTGTCACATAGGTTCACTGATTATAATGGAGGCATTGTTCTGGTGCCAAAAGAAGAGGGGGGAGGCACAGCGTCTGTGGAGTAGGGGTTCACGGGAACTCTGATCAGGCACAGGTCCTACAGGAAGCCTACTCCCGACTGAGCCAATGGCCTAGCCCCACCTTCACTCTGGAGCCACTGAGCACTGTGGACTCCTGACTGCATCATTTTATTTCATGGGGCATTTCCTAAGTGAATCCTGCCTTTAACAGAAACAAAAAGCAAACAAAAAACCAGAAAAGAGAGTTGAGAAGTGTTTGTGCCAAGGAGTGAAAAATTTTGTTAATCTCCCTTGAGTCTCTGGACGCCAAAACCTCATTCTTTATTTCTTGCCATTGGTTCTCAGTTTGGAAAAAAGACATCATTTAGAAGTACCTGTGGAAGTCATGCAGGTCTTCTGCACTGATATAATCATCCAAGTTCAGGGTCAAGTCTGCCACCTGCTGCGAGCCATATTCCTAGAAAAGTGAAATAGAAAATGAGAGACGGGGTATTTCTGGGCGAATGAGTGCAGGGTGGGAAGAACAGCATACAACCTAAAAAATACAGATGTTCAAAGAGACACTGATGAGGACTCTTTGTAATACATGACACAGTCTTCTAATGCTTAGGGACTTCCTTGATATAGAAATACTGCCTTTCCAAGGCCAGACAATCTATTTCCCAGGTTCTTTTGCAGACAGGATGCAGGTATGTAATTTTCTGGTTTGCAACTAAGAACCTTGTCTGATACAAGATCTAAATATCTGTCAACAGGGAAAGGATAATGGAATACTATGTAGAAATTAAAGCAAATGAGGTACACCTATGTGTGCTCCCAGGTGAAGGCCTCCAAAACAGAGTGAGAAAAGCAAAGGGCAGCAAATCATATTCTGCAGGATACCTTACAACAGACGGACCACAAGACAAAACTTAACAAAAAGCAAGCTATTGCCCTCATGGTGCTTCAGTAGCAGATCACTGACATTAAAGCAAAACACCAGTAAGGACACAATCACAAGCTGGCACAAAAATAAAATGATGAAGTAGAGAAGCAGGATTTAGATTTTTCTGGCAGGTGGGGTGGGTAGTAGGAATGTATTTCTGAGTAAGTGACAAAAGAGGGGGAGTCAGGCAGACTGAAGAGAAGGCGGAGGCTGCGTATGTATGTGAGGTGGCAGATGGGAGAGGGTGGGGATTACAGCACAAGAAACATCAAGTGTACAGGTTCCAAGGCAGCAAGAACGCTGCTTGCTTACGAAGCTAAAAGCAGCCCACTGGGGCTACAACAGCCTTTCTTCCTGCATTGTCCCTGAATGGCTTGCTTTGATTTCTTTAACCTGTGGAGAGAAGTCCCTCCTTTATAATCCAGGCAGCGACCATCTTTGTGCACAAAGCATTTCTATGTTTAGGGTTCTCACCTCAGGATAAAGCTCTTGAAGTAGGGACACTGGGCAAAGGCTTCAGGGACACTTACAGCTCTGCAGTCACTGTTAAATGGGTTTTGGAACAGCCACCCCAATACCCACCGCCATCCAAAGACCCCACAGGTCTGAGACTCACCAGCACATTGATGATCATGCTGGTCTCCATGGTGATGGCTTTCACAAGGAGCTTTCTGGAGCCGTCCTTGGACTCATACCGGAGGACATACAGGTCTTTACTGTTGTTCCACCCAGCTGGCAGCAGCTCTGACTTCTTATCACTGGGACCTGGCTGAGAAGACAACGGGATTGAGGAGAAAGATCATGACCTCAGAACAGGGACCTACAAAGAATCTTACAGATGATCTATCAGCACCTCTCATTTCACAGACAAGGCTACGGAGGTCAAGAGAGTGACCTGTCCAAGGTCATGCGCCAGTTAGAGGTCTGGGGCCCAGGTATCTGGAATGTTCTCTCCCCCCTTGCTGTCTTTATGACACAGCACTGACACCTGTCAAGAACCTGCAATCTCAGTTTAATAATCATCTCCCTCTCCATCACTGCCAAGAATAAAGCTAATTAACTTAAGGGACACTGTGGAATTCTAAAGCACTGATTTTCAGGGTTTGGACCTTGATCTATGTGCCACAGGGTCACCAAAATGTTGACTAAAAACACCAATTGTTTAACAAAAGTTACAGACGATTTTCACATATACCTAAAATGTGATATACATACAAGATTTTAAAAAATACAAAGTGGAGGGCTGGGGTTGTGGCTCAGTGATAGAACACTTGATTGCCTAGCACATGTGAGGCACTGGGTTTGATTCTCAATACTGCATAGAAATAAAGGTATTGTGTCCATCTATAACCAAAACATACACATAATATATATTTAAATACATATATATATACACACACATATATGGGGGTAGAGAGAGAGAGAGGGAGAGAGAGAGGGAGGGAGGGAGGGAGGTGTATGTGGCTACAAATTGCTTAGGAAAAAGAACATTGCAATCATCACAAAAGCCTTGGGTAGCAAATCCCCAAATTCTTCCTTCTTACCCTTCAAGAGTAATACTACTCTGTATTTTTAAAAAACTTTTTCTCACTTTTCCTATAAGTTGTATTACTATACATGCAACCATAAAAATACAGTTTCCAATGTTTCTAAATTTAACACGAACAGCATCACTTCCACCAGTTGCCATTTTCACGTGCAGAGATTAATCCCTGCCAGTGCTTCAGTGTTTTTGCTATAGCTGATTCACATTCACCACTATGTGGCGCTCCATTGTGCGAATGGGTTTCAAGACTTGCTCACTGGCTGGTGGAGACAGACAAGTTTCCAGTTCACTTACTTTGCTATTATAAATAATGCCATGAACATCCTGGACACACCTGGCACACATCTGAATTAATTTCTATGCCTGGAGGTAGAACCTTCTATTGATGAGATAAAATCAAATTGTTTACCAAAGAGGTGCTGATGTCCACTGCCACTAGCCCCGAGGGAGAGCCCCTGCTGTTCCACCTGGTCAGCAACACTGCTTTCACCTGACTTTTTCATCTTACCCACCTCACTGGTGAAAAATGCATCTACTGTGAGTTATGATGTTTCTCCTTTCTTTTCCTTTTTAGATAACCTAGAACTTTATTTTCACACACTAAAGTTTGAGAAATAGTTCAACTCATTTCTACAGTAAAAATGAACAGTGATTTCTGGGGGCAAGGGGGAGATTTCTTAAACAAGATCCATACAAGATAAAAATACCGCCATTGAAACTGCTGATAATTTACAGTTTCTGCTCAACAACAGGCAATATGAAGTCAAGACATCATGGCTAGGAAAAGACATTTGCTAGGCTGCAGAAAAACGAAAAGTCAGGCTGAAATAATGAGATAGCAGGTTATACACACCTGTCAGACCGGTGTTACCCCATTTGTTATTTTTTTATTTTTATTTTTTTACCAGAATTGTATGGGAGACCTCCAGGCACTGCTGGTGAGCATTTAAACTCCTTTAGGGAGTTTTTAAAATTTAAACAGCCCCTTTAGGGAGCAATCTGGTAGTATTTAGTAAAATTAGGTGAGTCAATATCCCATAACCCAAATTCCCTACTTCTGGAAGAACCCTGTGCAGAGATAGGACAAGGGATCTTCATCACAGCCTCGGCTAGGGCAGCCAAGGAGGAGGTAAAAGGCAAAATACACTTACAGTGGGTTACTCTCTAGCAATCAGAATGAGCAAGGTGGATCTAATTGTAGTATTACTAATCAAAGTAAAAAATATGATTTAAAATCCAGAAAAAAATGAGATTTACAGACCAGCACCATTAGTGTAAACAATTTAAAAAGCACACAGAAAATGATATATGTCTTTTTAAAAAATTTATTTTAGTTGCAGGTGGACATAATACCCTTAATGTTTATTTCTATGTGATGCTGAGGATCAAACCCAGTGCTTCACATGTGCTAGGTGAGCGCTCCACCGCTGAGCCACAGCCCCAGTACCAATGTACATCATTTCATGGATGCATATTTATACTGCTCAGCATGGAGCAGGCAGACTGGGAAGATCTGTATTAATAAAAGTATGATGGAAAGGAATGGGACCAGAGAAGAACACCAGCAAAGGCCAGAAACGCAAAACTCAACACACACTAAGGACAATGGGAGGCTACAATCGAGGACTGCTTAGGTTCTCTTCTTTGGTCACCCTGGTGCTCAGGAATTCATCAGGAGGAGTGGTCACAAGTCAAATTCAGGATGTCGAAATTGGCAGTGGTTTAAAAACTGGCTGGATGACAAATCAACTCACACTCCAGAAACGAAACAGAGGGACAAAAAACAAAAGTGAAACTAACCAATCGGTCCACTAAGGGAGAAGGAGAAACCATTTTCCCACTCCGAACAGGGTACACTTCCTGTTACATGTTTACTGTTGTGGGTGAAGTTATACTTCAGAAGCCAGGGATCTGATGACATGCCTTATCTTTGCTCTGTGGAGGGGTCCTTTATTTCTATTATGCCCTCGTATACAGCATTCATCTACCAAAACTAGAATGTGGGAAACCTGGCCTGCTCATCACCTTTGCTTCCAGAGTAAAGTCCTGGAAGAACGACGCCTCTTGCTGAAATGGGACCTATGTTCCCCAGAAAACAGAGGTGGCACTATGAGACAGGCTCTGGTGTTATCAAGCCAAACATGGCATTCAATTGCACTCGGGGCCCTCAGCTCAAATATCAAGTGTCCCAGAAAGCTACAGTTGGAGTGTAGCCAAAGTGCACAGTCATGTAGTTTGACACCCTTGGATGAAAACTCTAGGACCTGGGGGAGGGGACACTCACGCAAAGTCACAGCATAGTAGCTATAAAGCTGGATTTGGGATTCAGAATTCTCAGCTGCCAGGCTATGGCTAGAGATTTTTCCCAGCCAGGTCCACCAAACTGGCCCCATGAAAATTTTTCTTGAGAAAAACCCTCAAAACCCCGGGGAGGAAGCATTCTTTAATAGCTGAGTGTTCACCCCAGTGCCTCTGGGCTTCAGCCAGAGAAACGAAACAGATCGTTCTGGGCATTTTCTCTTTCTTATAATCCTTAAATCCCCACAGCACAACACAAAACCAATTCTCTAACTCTACGGCCAGCTCCATCCCCTGCCACTTAACCTGCCTGACATAGCTATAAAGCTCTTATGAGGAGTGGTGCTGACTTCAAGAAAGAAATCCAAATTCAAATGCTGGACTTCAGTTGAGGCCAACAGAAGTGTTACTCTCCCAGTCAAGTTTTATAGACCAATCCTACTGCGGCAGAGGAGGCTAAACCAAAGAGAGCAGACAGCCTTGCTCTCTACTCAACTGTTGATGTGTAAGTCAGACAGACACTCTGGGGACACTGTTTCCCTCTTATCACCCCCAGGAAGATGGGGGCAGGAGGTGACTAGAGCAGCAACACAAACATCCTCTGAACTTGGCAAACACTATGGACTCAGCCAATTTCTGCTTGCTCCAGTCTGAATATTAAACCTCAATAAACTAACAGGAGACACTGCTCCAAACGGCTTCTGCTCTGAATACGAGTACCCTCAACCAATGTGAGCAGAGGTCAAGTACAACCTGAGCCTACAGCCACTTCAGGAGAAAAAGCAAAAAGAAGCACAAATACAGCAGACTCCGTTGGCAGTCCCGACACTCATTCCTTTGAGGGCATGTAAGGTTGAGTGCTGAGGTGGACAGGGGGACAGTGCCTTCCAAAACTCCCATTCCCCAGCTCTTTGGCTTCCCCAGAGATGTGTGGAGCTAACATTTTTTTTCTGGTCTGCAGGAGCTTGACTGTCACCATTAACTGAGGAGGTAGACTTTGGGAATCTGTCACAGATCTTTTTTTTTTTTTAAACCACTATTGAAATGAGATTTATTTTCACATTTCATTTGAAAATTTTTGGGGCCTAGAGTATTTTGCAAGAGGGTGATGCCAGGGAAGACACCAACCCATAAGAACTGACATCCATAACCTGGCAAAGTGACAGACACAGGCGCTGACAGGATGTGCCGGAGGACAAGTAGGGGAGCAGTTCTGCAGGGTTCATATATGCCTGTGAAATGGCGAGCAGGGGGCCAGGTAAGCCCTCTGTGACAAGCTCCTGGGCCCCTGAGGAAGGGGTTATGATAGTGGGGCAGAGAACAAGCCGGCAGGCAGTAAGGTGGAGAGGGGCTTGAGGACAGGATGGAGCAGACCTGCTCCATCTGGAGAGTGCGGCCAACGGGCAAGCTCCAGAGTAAATTCACGTCTTACTCCACACCCTGCCCATCCCACACATCAGCTCTCTGAAGAACTTCCCAGGAGAAGTTGATATGAAGTGACTGGGCCAAGTGAAAGAGCTGTTAAAGACTAGAAAGCCAGAGCGGAGCAAGTCTGGAGCCACAGGGCTCCTGTTGGAGGAAATGTGCAGTGAAAGGGGGCCCTGCCACCGGGGAGTGGGGGAAGGCAGCATCTCTCCCGAGTCCCAAGGTCTGAACTGCTGGGAGGAAGAAATGTTCCCCTGTGTGTGTGTGTGTGGTGGGGGATTGTTGTTGCTGACTGTGCTTTCCCAGCCTTTTCTTCTCTAGGGGTGTGTGGGGGAGGGTGTGTTGTTGTTGCTGCTTGTTTCCTCCTGGAGCCCATGTAAGCTATGAAGGATGTGTGCCCTTGGAGGTAGCAGTGGGCTGCTGAGCACACACCTGGGGTCCCAGTGAAATAGCTGAGACTGGGGGGGGGGGGGGGAGACAGAGGTCAATGATAGTTCCTGTGCTCTGATTCTACTGATGGGGGTAGTGCTAAAGGGGTGTGGTGGTCTTGGTCCTAGTTCTATGGGAGAGAGGAATAGAAGCAGTAGCAATGATTCAGGGGGATATCTGGCTAAATGCTTGGAATGTGTAAAGCATTTGTGGGGGTGGGGGAGGGAGGGTCCAGAAAGCTATATACCTGAGAAAGATAAAAATGGGTTCGGGGCTTGAAAAATAAAGTAGTAAAAAATGAGAGGAAGGTTAAAATCTCACTGGGAGACACAAGGGGTGGGGTGGCTTGCTCCTCAGAGCTGGTCTTGGTTCTGGGAATGAGAGGACTGGGACAGAGAGGGTCAGGCCTGGAGTCCTGAGTGTCTGTGTGTATGTGGGAGTGTGGCTGGAAGGAGCAGATGGGAAACAAAGGGGCCAGGTCCAGTTTTCATAGGAAGGCTGATGTGATGGGGGTCACAGGGAAGGGACAGGGAAGGGAGACATTCGTGAGATGGGCTGAGTCCAGGTGTCCTGGGGGCTCTGTGGGGACATCAACAGGCCTCCAGCTGTTAAGAAGCAGAACCTAGGGATGGGAGAACAGAAGGGGCTGACCCTGTGGGGAAAACTATAGCTAGGAATCCTAACCTGACCCTCACATCCAGGATGTATGGGTACATGTGTGTGTGAGCTGATGATGACGGGGGCGACTGGGCCCAAGGCCCTTCAGCAAAAGGTAAGAGTGTGTGAGCCCACCCAAAACCTCATGTTCGTTTCCAGATATCCCGTGGAGGCTCGAGGTGGGAATGGGCGCAGTTTTGAATCCGGCCTCCCCATCCCTGCTCCGTGACTGTGTGGCCAGAGTTTAGGGGGAGCAGGTGGGGTGAGGACTCTGGGGAGCTACACCCCGTATCGGGGTCAGATCCACAGAATCCTGGCCCGAGCGACCGCCAGGCTGAGCTGAAGACTTTCTGTCCCCCGGTTTACAAACTAGGCTGTGTCAGCTGCGTGGGGAGGGGTCCCGGGCCCCAGGGGCGTCAGGATCCCCCGGACCCGGACCTGGGGTGAAGGGCAGAGGCCAGGCGCTCCGGACGAGGTCTTCGGCCTCCGGGTTTCGGCAGAAGACAGCTCCCCCCTCCCCAGCGGACGGCTCCGCGGCGTACCTGGTCGCCGGTGCCCAGGCCGTAGTAGCCGTGCGTCACCACCTCCCAGTGCAGGAAGCAGACCAGCGCGTCCTGCGTGCAGGTGATGGACGGCGCCGCCGACTCGTAGAGCACCTCCAAGCCCGCCATCAGTGCGCTCGGCTCCTGCGGGCGGAAGGAGGAAGGTAACACTTCAGGGATGGCTCCGCCCACGCGTGGCTATTACTCCGCCCCGCCCTCCCGCGGCTTCTGTCCGGTCTCTCCCGGCGCCCCAAAGGGATCTGTCCGGGGGCGTCATAGCAGCCACCGGAAGTAGTTCCAAACGGCAGCGCAGCTTCTCTAAGAGTGCCGGGCTGGAAACGCGAGCCGGGCACTGAAGGGTTCCCAGAGGGAGTCCGCGCACGGGGCGTGGCCTCTCAGAGCCGGGATCCCGTTCTCCCCGCAGCCTGCAGGACGCTGGGCGCTGAGTCCTGGGAGAGGACACCTCGCTGCAAACTAGACTGCCCATCCACAAAGTGGGTGTTGCTAAGCCGGGAAACAACTTAGGAAATGTAGGGAAAATAGATTTATTAGCACGCATGCAGTGCTTGCCACGAGTCACCTTATTCTAAATCCTTTTCTTGTCTACATGGGTTGACCCCCACCCCGAAGTGGTAATACCACTAAGGAAAATTGAGGTACCAAGGGACAATTTGACCCCGATAACACAGCCAGCCAGTGAAGGGCAGAGATGGTACTGGAATCTACCAGTCTGGTTCCTAGGATAGCTTTTATTATGGTGTTTTGGGTGCTGCATCCTGTGCCAAAAGCTTACTTTGCCCTTTCAACAAATCCTATGTTCTGTTACCATCCCCATTTTGCAAGTGACAAAAACTGATCAGAGTTGAAACTACTTCCCTAAGAAGATGGGAGCTGTGGACTTTAGAACTGAAACTCTGACCCACTACCTAATTTAATCTTTTTTTTAAACCTATCTCCTCCATGATTTTTACCATCTATTATATCTTCAACAAGTTTCTTGAAGTCCCATTATTGTTTTTACTCAAATTTATTTTTCCACATCCAGTCAGCATCGTGGTCCGTCCCACCCATTGTCATTTCTCACTTGGATGCCTGGTGTCAGCCTTTGAACAACATCCCTGTCTGCCTACAGTCTGATTTGCACCCTGAAACCAGACAGAATCTGTTAGAACACAAGTCAGATGGTGTCCTTCCACTCAAAACCTGGCAGAGTTCCCACCAAGCTCAAAAGGAAGAGTCCTCCCCAGGGAACCTATGCATGGTCTAACCCCCACTGCCATCCCAACTGTCCTTCTGAATCAGAATATCAGTGGAACCACACCTGGAGGCTAACCTGTAGAAATATTAACAAGAACCCCATCAGGGCCTATTTCATATAAAAGATCTTGAGGGCCCCCTGGGGGAACACCTCCAAGCCACTCCTTTGTCCCTGAGGTAGAAATCAGAACACAGGGTGAAGCTGGATGGAAGGCCATAGTCTTGGTGCTGTTTTCAGTGCCTGTTTCACATCCATTTTGCTCCATGCTCTACCCAGAACTGAGATAGGGATTTAGGATAAGGAAAAATACAAATCTTAAGGGAAATATCCTCAAGCCATTGCAATGTAGAATCAAGCCACTGAGATGCAGAAAACACTGATGCAAACCTTGGCCCATGCCCTGGCAATACAAAAGCACAGGAAAACTGGCTTCACCCTGGATCCACCTCCAGTCCAGCCCCTGATACAGCCCTTCTATAAATATTGGACCACAGGCCAAGTCAGGGCTGCTTCTCACTCTGCAGACAGCTTGCATTCTCCCTTAAATGTGTATCTTCCTACTTATATAAACCTCTGTCTATGCCTTTGTCAGGCTAGTGTTGAAATTCTTTTCCATCACTATGCCAGGAACCCTTTGGGCCCAGAGTTGAGTTCCCTCTCTCTTCTGGGAACTCCTCAGACCTGTCTCCAGGGACATCTCTTCTCCTGTGACACTGCCATATATTTTAACCTCTAAACACTATGCAAATAGTTGTTCTACTGTATTGCTTAGGGAATGGTGACATGGAAAACAAGTTTGAACTTATTCTGTATGGACATAATTTTTTTCCTGGATATTTTCTATCCCCTGTTGGTTGAATCTGCAGATAAGGACTCCACAGATACAGAGGGCCAATTGTACTTCTTGCTCTGTCTACAGCACTCTTTTCCCAAATATCTTCATGGTTTGCTCCTTTATTTTAAGTATGGTAGTTCCTTACCTCACTTTCTACCATCCCAGCAGAGGGCTTCCCTGGCCATCCATCCAAAACAACCTTCTCCTGTTGTTTTCCCCATTTCCATGCTTTTCTGAAAGGCATTCAGTGTCACCTCACACGATAGCAAGTATTTGTTTATTTGCTTATTTACTAGTAACTCTCTTCCCACTAGACTGTGAGAGAGAGCAGGGACCATGTCTGTCTTGTACACAGCTGAACCTGAATGCCCTCTGGGCTTGGCCCCTACTTAGTGAAGGAAAGAAGGAATGGATACAGAATGAGAGAATTCTGGATCTCAAGTGGGCCCGTCTCACCCCATCACTGCCACTGACCCTGTCCACGGGCCCTTTGCCTCTCCAAACTCTCTGTTCTTCCATTTTCCCTGGGGTGCCCCGATTCTTGAACCCCATCTGTAAAGCTTCCAGATGAGCAGCCTGAGGAGCAGTTCAGCTGAAGGAAATAGAGACTTACAAAAACTTCAGGGAAATAGGGAGCTCAGGAATCTGACCTGTCGTAATCTGCCCCAATCCCCCTGCTCCCCAAAAAGCCTGCCCAAAGTAACCAACTGACTCCTCCCATGACCTGGTCCTGCTAAACCCTATAAAACTCAGGCACTTGTAGCTCCCCGCCAGTTTCCCTTTTAAAAACGTGCCCCTCTGTGGTTTAATAAAGCCCTGCTGATCCCTTGAGTCCTTTCTGGGTTTCTTCTTCTTTGTGTCCTCTCTCATGGTCTTTCCAGGTGTGCTGACCACACTCTGGGGATGCTAGGCTGATGGCCATGGCGCTCCTCTGTGAGATGTACTTCCCATGACATAAAGCTCTTCCCACTGAGAAGCCCTCCACTTTCCGTGGGTCCTGATCTTGCTTGCTTGGTCCCCTCTACTACTCATGTCTCTCCCCAGTTATGAAGAATCCCCACAGAGCCATTCATCCTCCCAAGAACCTTCACAGGCTGGGAGGCCATGGTGGGGTCCCCCAGGCTGGGCACCACTAAAATGTGTCCCCCAGGGGCAGCCCTGATCTCAGTTCCTGCTGCAAGGCAGGCCTAGGTGAAAAGCCGTCATTCTGTCCCTACAGAGCTCACGTCTAGTGGTTAAAAAAAAAGTTATAACAAAGGTAACCCGGTGTGAAAACTGCCATGCCAGAGGAGCGCTAGGAGGTCTGTGCAAACACACAGGAGGGATGGAACTCAGGGAGGGCTTCTCGGAGGAAGACATGGCCCACGGCCTAGAACTTCAACCAGTGGGACCCTCTCGTCTTGCACACCGTTAATCTCTCTCTCTCTATCTGGGTGTCGGTGGGGTGCCAAAGTGAGAAGGGTGAGAGCCCTCAGTCCCAGGAGCAAGGAGAATTTTATCTGGGAAGTTGTTGGAATTGCCGGTTCGTGATAACGTCAAGCAGACCAGCTTTGGGGCGGCTGTGTTAGGCTTTCACCCCTTGGCTCCACACAGTTTTGCCTGCAGTTGCTTGTGGCCTGCATCTCCCAGAGCTTGGGTCCCCTGTTCCTCAGCATCGTCCTGTCTGGGCGGAGCTGGTCCCAGGGAAAAGCAGGAGAGGAGTGGGAAGGGAGGTGGGAGGGAAGGGGGTGCAGGACCTGTCAGTCATCTCCGCGGGCAGCTGGGTCTCATGCTTCTGTGGGACAGGTCTCAGAGTTGTCCCAGTTGAGGACATGGGAACTGGGATTTCCTTTTCACTCCTACCTGATCTGTCACAGGTGAGATCTGCTTTCTGGGGTCGCGGAAAGTCCTCAGGCGAGTTATAGAATTTAGAGAAAGTAGGCTTGGGTGCTTACAAGTGACTCCAGAGGGGGAGAAGGGCATCGAAGCAGCCTCAGCTGTGGTCCTCCCAACCTCCAACTAAGGGTGGGACAAGCCTCCAAAAGTCTGTGTCCCGCAGCCAGCGGGCCAGAGGCATTAGCCCCGGGCTGAGCTGTGACTCCTGCACCAGCCGGTGGTGTTCTGTCCACCCTGAGTCCCAGGGTCTTTCAAGAATGGGGGCAAATGGGAGGATGTCCTGGGACTAGAAGTGCCCCGGTTCATCTAGCACTTTCTGTGGACTCACCTACATCAGCAAGAATCCCAATCTGCCCTGCGAGCTCTGGGAGCGGCTGAGAGGAGAAGCGGGTGGCAAGTGCCTCCCGCACTGGGCCCCCACCACCTGGGCAGAACAGAGCCCATAGCAGAGACCAGGGCCCCCGGGTGGGGGGGAGGGAGAACTTTCAGGAGGGTGCAGCCACCAGTTCCTGGTTGCTAAGTGACAGCAATGTGGGTATTCCAAGCTCCTCTGTGTCCCTGGAAACCATGAGGTTGAGCTAAGGGCAGGCCCAGGGCATCACTCAGCAGCGAGTTCTTCTCCTTTGGCCAAGCGTCAGCTCCACCACCTCACCTCCTCCGGGTCGCTAACTTGACCCCCAGAGATACTCAGCATCCTTGGCGCCCAGAGAAAACAACTTTTTAAAACTGTAATTCTAAAGTAATACGATTATTATTAATTTGGGAAGGGGATATTGAATTGATACTGGGGATGGAACTCAGGGGCACTTAACCACTGAGCCACATCCCCAGCTCTTTTGTGGTATTTAGAGATGAGATCTTGCTGAGTTGCTGAGATCCTCAGTAAATTGCTGAGGCTGGCTTTGAACTTGCGTTCCCCCTACCCCAGCCTCTGGAGCCACTGGGATTGTAGGTGTGCGCCACCGTGCCCAGCTCCACATTCTGCTCTCTATCTCTGTGAATTTGAMCTCTCTAGGTATCTCTTTCAAGTGAAACCATCCAGTATTTATCCTTTTTGTGACTGGATTATTTCATTGAGCATGATTCCCTCCAGATCCATCTCTGTTTGCAGCATGTATCAGAATCCTTCTCTTTTTAAAGGCAGAGTAGTATTCCATCGTCTGTATATTCTACATTTTGTTTATTCATCCATCCACCCAAACGTAGGTTGCTTCCACCTTTTGGCTACTGTGAACAATACTGCCGTGAACACAGTTGTACAAATGTCTTTCTTCAAGATCCTGTTTGCAGGTCTCTGGGGC